CCCATCAACTCATATCTCATGAACTTGAGTCAATAATCATTAATCTAATGCTAGAATCAATTACAGGGTAAAGACATTACCTTTTTGACGTTCAATCTTCTTGAATTCGAGTTCTAGGGTTTCTTCTCTCAACAATGATGCCCCAAATGAATATCTAATGATATGGAGGGTTTACCCATGTTAATAAGATGTTGGGATATTGAAATTAACTTAGAATCACCATTAGAACTTACCTTGGGTGGTGGAAGGACCCTTAAGAAGTTAGGTTTTTTAGAGTTCCTATTTCTAAAGCAAGTTTTTATGTTTTGGGGCTGTGGGGGACGAAATATAGCTTTAAAACGGCCCCCCACTAGCGCGCCCGTGCATCTGGAGGCTTGCCCGCGCTACTGCCCCCACTAAACGGCAGTAACACTGCCTCAAAATTAGCGCGGCCGCGCAAAGGGCGCGCTACCGGCGTGCATATCGCATACTGTTCTGTAAAACATGCATAACTTTTTGCACAGAGATCTGTTCAGGCTCCATAATATATCGTTGAAAATATATATCAAAGGCCTACAACTTTCATGCTTTGAGTTTTCCCAAATTCCTTACTCATTTTCACTAAAACCTACTGGAATACGAACATTCTGCAAACTTAGTCAATTTTGTCAAATCTTATGCACCTCACTTTTCCATCTTGATTTTGAAATAACTATTTTCACCCATAATCATCCCGATAGGACTTCATATGTCTAAAATATCAAATTAATACCCATTTAACATATCCACACCTAGTCTGAATGTACGGGGTATTACAAAAGGAGAGAAGAAAAAGCGCATAACAAGAAAGCCCAGACTGAGTATTCGTAACATCTTGATGTTTGATTGGAACGATGGAGATCGGTTTTGGAGTCTTGTAGCATCTGATTTCGAACCTCGAACAGCAGTTTCGTTTTTGTGGATTCTCCTCTTTCTTCAATTGATTTGTTGTTGCTATTGTTGCTCCATGTTTGGCACTTGTTGTGTAGCCAATTTGGAGAACTTTTGTAACTCTCTTATTGTTATAGTGAAACTTTTTGGATCTTTGTGATCTCGTGGTTTTTACTTTCGATTTGAAGGGTTTTCCACGTTAAAATTTGGAGTTCTTTACTTTCTTTATTTTCGGGTTTGCCTCTTTCTCGACATAACAATGGTATCAGAGCGAGGTTTAAGACAGGTTCAGTTCTAGCTACAACCTATTTGACGCTAATCATTATTTTTGTTTGAGAAATTTGACCGGTATGCTACGCACGTTAAGACAAACTTTGTGGTGGATATTTGGAGATGCGACTTATTGAAGATTATGTGAAAAAGGTGGATCAAGTTTATTTTGTCAGAAAATTCAGGCCAAGGGGGAGAATTGCTAGATGTTTGTCCAAATTTTCTTACCATAATTGGTTTTCCTATCTCATGAAAGAAAGGACAACATATTTACCATAATTGGGTTTTCCTTCTTGTAGAAGGAAATTACAAATCTCTCATATTTGGCTAGTCTCTTTTCTTGTAGGAAAATGTTTAAAGTTCTATAAATTGAAGATCCATCATTCTCATTCAGTAGCATCCACAGTGTAGCCATAGGGGGCTTGAGAGTCTTGTTTAGGGGGAAAACTTTACGGGACAAGTGTTAGTGTGTCACTTGTGTTTGTCTCTTCGTGAAGTTGTTCTCTTTATATTTTGTACTCTCTTTTATTATAGTGGATTGCTCATCTCCATATGTGGATGTAGGTTAATTGGCCGAACCACGTTAAATGTTTGTGTCTCTTTTGGTATATTTCTCTTTTGTTGTTGGATTTATCGTCGTTGAAGATTTGTTTTGCTAGCTTCCGCATGACACCTGATTTTTTTCGGTCCTAACAACAGGTTGGGTTGAAAGGCTTCCTGCTGCTATTGAGTTAAACCAAGAAGTAAATCTCGAAGCAGACATTCTTCATTCCCCCCTTCTTTCCTTTGCTCTGTTATTTGTATATTTATTTATTTCTTATTCTTTCATTTTTTATTTTATGAAGGTAGTTGTTCAGGTTGTGTATACCTCGACTAATTCATCGAGTACGTGGTACCTCCCACTAGCGCAGGTACTAGGTAATTCGATAGATCACGACTTAAACAAAAGGGAACAAAATCACCTAACTTGTATAGCATAATCTGGAAGTGCATTTTTTAAGATCTTACATTTCTTGACATATTTTTAAATCAAGTTAGACATAGAACAATAAGCTGGTACTCTAGCAAAACATCTAAGTAGCTATGGCTGGTGGAGCAATACATTCAGGATTTGCAGCAACCTCTGCTGCATAGTAGCCATTAGTTTCAGGGTGGAGCTTGTCAAGACTCCAAAACTTGGCAGCTTTCATATCATCTTGAACCATTTTCCTTGAGAACTCCTCATGATCATAGTTTAAAGTTGCTTTTCCTCCAAACTCAGTTGGTAAATTATCCATGTCAAAGTATGACTTCATTAGTTCCACACTATCCTTGTTCTTTGGATAAACAAATTTGACCTTCTGAAATGTTTTGGTATCCAGAAAATATTTGACTATCTGGAACAAGAAAAAAAAAGATCAGCATTAATAAAAGGTAAGATCATTTATTGAGTCACATCTCTACTTCCTATAAGAAGTAATGAAGTTAGTATTTTTCTCAAGTGGAAAATGCTGTCTTAGGCTGTCAATGATATATACTGGTATCTACATTGTCAGCTTTGGCCTTTTAAAACAGTAAACATTATACAATCTGCAATGTCAGAACACTTGAAATAACTGATTAATTTGAAGAATTGAAAGTTCTGCATGGTTTTTGGTTTGATCAAGTAACAGGTAAGGGGTGAAAGAAAAAGAAAAGATTCAGATCAAACCTTCCAAAATGCTTCAAAAATTCGCGGAGGGTTGTAGAGAAATGCTATAGCAAGTCTTTCAGGGTAGTGGTTTTGCAAAATATTGACCGTCTCACGAGCAGATTTGATGGGAACATTATTGGTTAGAGACCATCCTGTGAAGTCTATCAACCAAGCCATTTGCTCTTGACCTTCTGGAAGATTAAGAATGGCATTCTCTATCAGATACACCAAATGCTTCATCTGGTTGTCTATTGATGTCGTATTCTGAAATATAATCAAGAACTATAAAACTCTGATTCAAGAATATCTCAGCAGTTACAATAAGACAGAGTTTGAACACTTCAACTTGCTTTTACATCACCTGCATTCCTGGTCTCAAGATAAGAACAGTTCTCCCATCGCGGTCATGGAAATTTGCTCTGAAAGCTTTCCCTGTCTCACCTTCAATTGCAACTTCATTCTAACAGATTGCAATAGCATTATATGGTCAGTAAATACAAAAGTACCAGCAGTTCAGAGACAAAAATCTACAGATGGAAAGGCAGAACACTCAAAATACTGTATACATACTCAATAACCATCTATTGCCAACACGATTAACTAAGAAAATGGCAGTCCGATGCACAAAGCATCCCGCATTCATGCAGGATCTAGAGGAAAGGCCGCACCCTAAGGGATATGATGTACACAGCCTACACTAGTGCAAGCATCAGTGGCTGATTCCACGGTTGAACTTGTGACTTATAGGTCACACGGAAGCAACTTGGCCGTTGCTCCAAGGCTCCCTTTCAACCAACACGATTAACTATGACAAATAAACCGTTGGTAAATAGAAATAAAGGAGACAATCACAAAAATGTCAAATCTTTCATGTATGCAAAATCACAACAAATGGTTTATCATGCAGTTCTGTTTTCTTCCATTCGTCACTGATGACCACATATGTTTCTCATCGACAAGAAGATAACCACAACATACAAATTTATCTCTTTTCTTACCCAGTGGATTTCCTCAGGCTTAAAAGTTGACCTCCATTTTAGGGACTCTTCCAACATCTTCTTTGATTTATCCACATTCCAGTTTCGTGCTTCCAAATATCTCCTTAAACATGCATCGCTGCAGTACTGTAAGCTGCGCCCTGATAGCGGCTCCAAGGAAGTCCTAAGCTCCTTAACCTGAGATAAAAATGGCAGCCTCTCACTCATATATATAATCTGATTAGAACAAGTAAAAAGCAGGCTATGATTTGAAAGTTAGAGTACATTCACAGTATCATCCTTTGAGAATCTTCCCATTAAGCATAACTACGAATTTATAAATTAAAAAAAGAACTAGTTAAATGCACAAGTCAAGAGTACAAAATTTTCCAGAACCAACTATGATCTAATTGAACTCTGAGAGAAAAGTTTTACTGAAGAAACACTCAGATACAGGAAGCTTGAGATACAAATATAAAACTTTTTACCTTGTGCTGTCGATCCTCCCCCTCATGATCAGTATGGGAATGGTTCTTGCGACGAAACATGATAAATACTACTGCTACTGATGTCTAATACTTGAGATAGAACTGTACAGCAGAACCCATATGAACAAGGTGAGGACTTTTAACCAATCGACTACTATTAAGATTGAAATTCCCATGCATCAACAAATACATTTTCATAGATAAAACTCCATAAAACTAGACAAAGGGAACAGGTTTTACTTGGAAGTAAAGAAACATAGTGCTGCTGAAACTCAATTCTATTTGACAGTCATAAGATTTCCCATCTGCAAATACATTTCATAACTGAAATTCCATACAAATGATGCTTTAAATTACCATGGCATAAGTAGGGCTAAAAGAATTGGCATTTCATTTTCAAGCGAGCAACAGTAAAGTTGTCTATGTGTGGCCTATAGGTCATGGATTCGAGCCATGAAATCAACCACTAACATAGGAATCTGAAACTACTTTTGATTAACAAATTGTACAAATTGCTGCAACATTAATGACTAGCTTCCTCTTTATAGGCACAGATATTTTTCTCTCCAATTGGTGATTTAAGGCAAAAACAATCAGCCTGCCTTTCACCTATGTCACAAGGTCAGATTAGTAAAGTTAGATGGTAGACCAGCTAAAGCTTTCTGATACACAGAAAGCTTGTGGTCGTTTTCACTCCATGGTCTACCTACAACAAAATGGTAATTTTGTGACCTTTCCAATAAAATACAATATGGTAACCAATTTGGCACTAGAAAACTAACAGGCTCCAGATAAGAACATTTATATATCCCAAATCTAGCTTTTGCCTTTTATTACTATCTGTTTGAAGCCAAAACCAATTACCCAACATGAGAATTNATATATATATATATATGTTTAACTATATATAGAGGTGGAATCAAAGGCAGTGAGTATTAGTTAATTCATGATCGTACCTGGGGAGAAGAAAACAGAATGGTGGGATTTTCAGCTATTCTATCACGAATATGTCATGCAACTTCTTTTAAAAATACAACAATATATATACTTCAGTTATAACTAGCTGGTTTCTCCCTCAGACACATACAAAGAGCAGAGTCAAGAGTATATATATTAAGTGTCTGTATATATGTGAATATTTTCTAAGAGCAATGCACAGCAATAACAGAAAAAGGACAAACAGATTTTACAATTAATTAACATTAAAAATAAAGGTACTCGTTTGGATCCTGGGATGTAACATGGTGTAAGTCATAGCCGCCACATGGCATTTAGATCTATAAAATGAGAGTTTTCAGGGAAGTTTCCACCTTTATAATTTTTCATATGCTCTTTTAAATTCATGATATAGTACACTGTTTTTATTTTAGAATCTCATAATATTTCATATTAGTTTATTTGTATTTAATTTTTGCAACTTCAGAAATTTTTCAAAATCATTAAACTATATATATGATGCTTTCTCTATTGCCCTATTTTTTTCAACTACTATTTTAATAAATTCTACTATCATTAATATAGTGTGGAAGTCAAATTAGCACTATGTCAATCATCCCTTCTTATAAGGCTATGTTCACTGATCGCGCAATTTAAGATATTAAGTTAATTATATTAATGATAGTGAAAGAACATATTAAGTTGTGGTTGGAAAATTATGACAAAACAAAATTAGTAAATCAGACAAAAAGTAATAGAGCGATGTTGAAAAATTTGGAACCTTCCAAAATAAAATAAATCAATAATATCAATTTCCGCAGTCAACATGACATATTCAAACTGGAATAAAAAATGATTTCGAGTTCTATTGACTTTCTGAACATTATTGCTCATATTCCATCTTCCTATAATTTGTTAACTATGCAAAAGAATACTTGAGTAAATTTTATCTCTTTCCCTTGAAAATTTTTTCCTAATTCTAATTAAACAACTTTGCCTAAATATTTGTTATTAAACTGTATTTGTAAAATAATTCTAGAAATATAAATGAACATAAACATAAATGAACATAAACAGGAATGAACTACGAAATAACAGAAAACCAATTCGAGCCCACTGAATTTACAGTGTTTCCTTAAGGAATTTAATCCCCTCCTAGTACCCAAGGTTATGGATTATTTCCTCCCAGGATAGAACGAATTACACACTGGTATAGTGGTACTTCAAACCCCAGTATTTCAGCGAACACAAAGTTCGGTAGCAAATCACACTTACTGTTGCTTTGTTTGATGTTTAAACTGTGTAGAAGGAGGAGGAGAAACTCAGAAAATCGTATGAAAATTCTCAGAATAGCCTTGTATTTATAGCCAAAGTTGGGCTGAAATCTGAAGAGGTGCAACTCTTCAGAGTGGCTGTTTATGCAAAACGGCCTCAGCATAAATGTCATTACATAAATGGTTACTTACTCAACAATAAAGAGGGAAATTTAATATTCTGTTATTAAAATAAATATTTAATAATATTTCTGTTAATATTTTACTATTAACAAGTAAATTTGGTCCAAAAAATTAATCAATCAATCATTTGACCGAATCTGAATCCGAAGCCGAAGCCGAAGCCAAGCGAGCGAGCGAGCGACGAGGCGCGAGGCTTGCCTTCTTCTCAACTCTTTAAGAGTTAGAAAAATANTATAATTAAATACATAAAACCCAACAATCCCCCACATGAATGGGGAATGGCTATATCACGGAAATATGCATGAAAATTGTGTGATTCGCAAGTAAGAATTAATTGCATCTGGATAAGTAGGTTTCCCTTTGAACTTTCCGTAGTGAACTTATGTCGGATATACTCGATCAATCGGTAGATTTGATATCTTTGAACCGTCGAACTTTGATGTATACCTAGACAACCATAAGTCACACAACCAACCCTTAACCGACTTTGGTTCTCATTGTTGTGTTTGTTTCAGCCACGAACACCGCCTGGTTTCATAAGTGCATAGAGAATTGGCCTTACAAAATTCTCCTTGAAGCGGCTAACACTTCACACTTACATAGGTGATTCCTAAACGTGTCATCATGTAGATACATGTAACGACCCGATCGGTCGTTTTGAGCTCCAGCGCGTCATTTAGCAGTTTGAGGCCATGAGCAGCTTCATCTGAGGTATATTGACTTGTGTGTATGGTCAGAATTAAAATTCAGGAAGTTTGGAGTCAAATCTAAATGGAAATTCTCATTTTGAAAGCTTAAAATTGAAGAAATGAACTAGGATTGGAATTTTGAGTAAACGACCTCGGAAGTAGGATCCGAAGGCTCCAGAAGGTTCGTATGATGATTTCGGACTTGGGCGTATGCCCTGATCGGGTTTTGGATAACTCGGGAGCGTTTTGGCGCCTATTGTGGAAGATAGCATTTTAGAAGAAATTGCATCAGTTTGGCTTAAAATGCATTTCAGTGTTATTGATGTCCGTTTGGAATTCCGAGACTGGGAGTAGCTCCGTATGGTGATTCTGGATTTGGGAGCGCGATCGGAAGTGAATTCGGAGGTCCGTAGGTCATTTTGGAGCCATTTGGCTAACTATAGAAATTTGAAGGTTTTTGAGAAAATTCGACCGGAAGTGGAAATTTTGATATCGGGGTCGGAATGCGATTCCGAAAGTTGGGGCAAGTCCGTAATGTCGAATGTGACTTGTGTGCAAAATTTGAAGTCATTCCTGAATGATTTTGGTAAGGTTTGAGACACTTAGTCTCTTTTAAGGAAGCTTAAGTTGGAAAAGTCAACCGGATATTGACTTATGTGTTAGAGCGCTCGAAATGCGAATTTTATGGTTTAGATAACTTTGTTAGGTGCTTTGGGACTTAGGAGTGTATCCGGAATATTTTTGTGATGACCGGTGTAGAATTAAGCTTGAATCGGCAAAGTTAGTATTTTGGCGAATTCCGGTTGATAGGTAAGATTTTGATTCGAGGCTTGGAATGGAATTCCGAGAGTTTCTGTAGCTTCGTTATGTCATTTTGGACTTGTCTGCAAATTTTGAGATCATTCGGACTAGTTTTGACGTGTTTCGACA